GAGGTAGTTTAAAATCGATTACAATAATTCACTCGAACACCAAAGTATTAATAAGTGAAGCAAAGACTTTGTACCCCTTTTTACGAAAATCGCGCGGACAGAGGAAGGAGGACGGCAGGATGGTGGTACCTACCCGTACGGACTCACAAAAGGTCCTACCACCGGTAAAGTATATTATATTTTCCCATCACCTACCACTAACCAAACGAAACCAGTTATTGCCTTTCGTTAATCACAATTAACCTGCGTCTTAATGTTCAAATGCAATTAATATCTCTGTGTACACAAACGTTGAAGCCAACAGCAGGTTAGCATTGCATTGAGCCAGAAGTAGATCGGTGTGCTTAGTGCGAGTTTTTTAACGTTCTCGATAGCGTAAAAGTTAGCCCAATTTTGTATGCAGTTGGAACAGCGCCCCTAGCGGCAAACGTAGGCACACGATTCCATTCTATATAAATACTAGCTGACCCGGCAAACATTGTTTTGCCAAATATAAGATTTCTAGGGAATTTCTAGTGTAAAAAAAAAAACTAACTTATTGTAAGTGTGTAAGGATGTGGTAAATGAGTGAAAGAGGTATGTAGTGCTGTGAACGATGAGGGAATATATAATAAAAATAACAAAACCTCATTCAACCACATAATACCTCATTATAACAAAAAAAAATTACCAATAAAAAAAATTATGTTAGGGGTGGACAACCCTAATCACTTAGGGGTATGAAAAATAGATAGTAGCCGATTCTCAGGCTTACTGAATATGCATAAAAAATTTCATGAGAATCGGTCAAGCGGTTTCGGAGGAGTACGGGAACGAACATTATGACACGAGAATTTTATATATTAGATGAGCTAACTTTTACGCTGTCGAGAACGTTAAAAAACTCGCACTAAGCACAAGTTATTCATCGAATTACCACTGAAATTAAAATGGTTACCGTCCAAAGCGTATTTCAGGCATAAATTGCCAGTGGACATCTTGAAATATGAGGTCAAAGTCTTCACTGCACAATAGCCGGCGGACCGCTGTTTGAGACAGCAATTCTATGACCCAACCTCGTACATTGTGATTGTCTCACACAGGTCTGTGCGCTTTTTAACAAAGAAACGAATATGCTGCGTTGACCTTGAATTCGTAAACTTATGAGTATACTAGCTACTACCGGTCCGTTTCACTGGACATTTAAAAATTAACATTATTATTTCTCACCCCCACAAAGATTCTCATCATTAACGCCCCCGCAACTGGTTTAGGGAGTCCAACACTCATATAAATATTAGCCTATCCATTAAGTACATTTATTTTCTACATGGATATCAAGTTGCAATCGGATGCATGTTTCAGTAGTTATAACGGAACATCCGTAAAAACCACTGTATTCTATATTAGTATAGAGTATAGATTGTCTTGACTATTCGACGATTTAATTGGAATTTTTGAATTTGAGTCTATGGTGCAGTAATAATTGGCTTTGATTGCTGGGACAGGAGTCGTGGCCTCGATTCTCAGATTGGGCAAATAATCGTGTGATAAACTGATTTGTTTCCTCTCGTTGTCTATGTGTATAATATCTATAGGGAGATGTGTAATGCAATTTCGTTTGAGCGTCATTTCTGCAACTTTACAAGAGAGCCATTTAATCTTTGAAATTTGTTAAAATATTATGACATGAAAATTTCTTCAGCTGTTTGAATGGAGTAAACATTTTTTTTTATTGCTCTTGCAGGCAGACGAGCATACGGCCCACCTGATGGTGAGTGGTTACCGTCGCCCATGGACTTCAGCAATGCCAGGGGCAGAGCCAAGCCGCTGCCTACCGCTTAATACTCTCCACAAGCCTCGTTTGAAGAAGGACATGTCATAGCGCTCGGAAAACACCGTGGAGGGGAGCTCATTCCATAGCCTGGATCCTCCAAATATAATTGGAGTTCAATTAAAAAATCGGTTGTCTGTAAAGTCGGTTTACTAACGATAGTTGAACGTGACGTCATAAGAAAATACTGATGGAATGGTTTCATTTTTCAATTATCGCAATTATCGTTGCTATAAACAATTGAGACCACATTCACTTTTCACTGAACTTCATACTTGACGAAAACATGTAAAGCAGCTGCGTATAGCAGCTGTCCACGCGGTTGCATCGCTCACTCAAGTAGGAGAGAGACAGATGTCGAACGCTGCCGAACGCGGAGGCCGATTGTGTCTCTTTGTCGCTCGTTGCGCGCTCTCGCTTGCACTTCAAGCTTCAAATGGAACGCCTCAGAGCGAGGTAACGTCGCATGAGTCATGTTTTTTCGTGCGTGCAGCCGACTCCGTCGAATTATAAGACGTTGTCACGTCAAAACGAATTGTTGATGCTAATAACAAATGAAGCGGTCCTTTAATTAGAAAGATAAATGTCGCGTATTAATTAAGCGAAATGACGCTTAAACGAAATAGCCTTCATCCCTCGATATGTGTATAGATTCAAACGTTAATAAATACGTATGTCAGTCTCCGGATCCGATAATACAGGAGTCCAAGTTTGGGTCCAGATTTATGAGTGTGAAAAATATCACGATTACTCGTACCTACTAGTATTTTATTGTATTATCTGTTCCGCGTCATTGATTTTTGATATCATGTATCTTTAAAACGCAATGTCCGTAGTTCGTACGTTCTAGATAACATACTTTTTTTTAATCAATACTGTATTCATTTGTTTTTATGATATGCATAACTCATTTGAGGATTAATATGCACATCAAATTTTGTCATAGATCGTAAAAAAACCCGCAAAGCCGTAAGCAAATAGTTATTTGTCAACATAATGAAATTAAAAAAAAAAACATTTTATCATTGAATTGTCTTTTCCAAGATATGATTCATAATTTATTTCAGCTGACGACAATACTTACGATTAAACAATTACAAGCAAAAAAATTAAATTAATTATGTAATAATATTATGCATATATTCACAAAGGTATTTTTTTCTTAATGTCACATTAAATAACAGAAATAATTTACTAACTTATAATTAATATTACAGCTCTTGATCTCATATCAAGTTTAGAAGTTTGATCATAGTCTTACTTTCTGTAAGACGTTTGACTTGCAATCGTAAAGCTTTAGCCCGCTTAATGAAATGCTATAAACTTAAGATACTTAGGCAAGCTTCCGAACGCACACGCATTAAAACCCGTAAACCGTTCATCTTCTTCCAACGTTTAAGTTAGAAAGAGATACAGGACCAGATCGAGACGACACTGATACGATGTGGCCCAGATCAACTGGCGCGTCTAACTCTAGTGAGGGTTTATAAAATCGCGTAAACGTCAAATAGATGTCAGACATGAAGGAGATTAGAAGCAAAGGAGTCTATAGTAGAATTATTTTGTCCGTGCAGTTTGGGTCATTAAACATAGGCCGGCTAGGGCGATGAGCAAGTTGCGCGGGCGCAACGGCATTATCGATAAAAACAAACGAGTCATCGAAGGCATGTACACGGCGCCGGAGTGGTATACGAAGGGTGGTGAGACATTGTTATGTTATGAGTCATTTATTGTACCTACCTACAAATCGATGCCTCCAATGAACACTATTCTAACTCCAAATTCGTAGGTTTACAAGAGGAGAGTTTAAACGAAAAAAGTTGATAAATATATCTGCAATAATAAATATTTTATGGTTTTTTCTTGTGTGACTAGGTGATTTACTCTTGCTTCGAACCCCATTAATTTGTAATACTTTTAAAACAGTGAAGCGATTTGCGTGAAAAACGAAAATTTCAAAATTTTGAGTTAGAGTAGTGTTCATTGGAGGCATCGAAATTATAGTACATATGTCGAAGAGAAATGTGATTTTATGCATTTGCTNTGCAATAATAAATATTTTATGGTTTTTTCTTGTGTGACTAGGTGATTTACTCTTGCTTCGAACCCCATTAATTTGTAATACTTTTAAAACAGTGAAGCGATTTGCGTGAAAAACGAAAATTTCAAAATTTTGAGTTAGAGTAGTGTTCATTGGAGGCATCGAAATTATAGTACATATGTCGAAGAGAAATGTGATTTTATGCATTTGCTCTCTGAATCTCTTTAGTGACACAAGGCTACTCCTTTGTTTTGTACCAAAATGGCAGAATTTATCAAATATTTTGCTTTCTTGGCAAAAATATACCAGCACAAACATACGTTATTATCAATAATGTGTTAAAAACTGAAATGAGAATAGATCCCGAAATGTTACAAAGTGTTAGTTTCTGCCGTCCTCGTTAACTTGTTGCGGCGATATGTGGTGTAAGTGTTCGATTAGTGATTTTTTCTTTCATTTTTATCAAATGACAAAACTAAATACACTATCGATAACGCTCATCGACAACAATAATGCGCATCACTATGCCCGTCCATAGGCTCCTGAGTGGAAGAGAGAGCGAAATACTCGCTTCACCGCTCCGATTTTTTATGACCCCAAACTGCGCGGACAAAATAATTCTACTCTAGTAGTAAACATTCCATCAATACGAGTTCATGTTTTAATATTATTAAATATTTTTTCAATATTATTTTTTTAATGTAAAAAAGTGTAAGTAAATATACCAAACTAAACATCATTGATAATATTTAACAACGGAACATTTGCCTTTGTGTCTTAAAACTAAAATAATTTAAACTAAAATACTTTTACGATAATAAACGCACTTGCGAATCCTAAGTCGACTCGCATTAGATTAACTGTACCGATATTTAAAAAGTTGTTTCTTAATCTGGCACATCGAAATCTTAAAATGAGGCCGTCAGCGCAAAAATAACCAAACCAACAATTTTTCATAATCATGTTTATAGTTATGTATATTGCAATTTATTTATTATATAATAAATTTTGATGCAAAACCGGCCAGCCATAGTTTCACCCAAAGACAACAGATAGCTTTGTAAACATTATTATTGCGCGTATTGTTTTTTTGTCTATTCAAATTCATGAAAACTTAAGCCTCATTGCTCCATAATAAGTATGGTAAGTTTAACCCACCTTTGCGCTGACGGCCTCATATTTAGTCGGGCTATACATACTAAATTTATTTTTTCTTCTTATCGTCTGTAGTAAACACGGCCAAGCATTTCTGCAATATCTCCGTGAATATCAACGTACCGACGAACACTAGCAATGTCCCTATCCAGTGCCCTAAAGTGAAGGGATTCCTGAAGTACATTATAGAGAACAGAAGCGACACGAACTTTCTCAAAGTGACAGCTAACGTCACTGTCAGCGACGCACATTCGGTTGTCAAAACGTAGACCGCGCTAATACACAGACCCTGAGTCGAAACGTACAGCAACAGCCACAGAACTTGTCGTGGCAAAATGAACCCTAAGAACTCGACGGCAGGGGTTTCTGTCGCGATTTCGACGTGTCCGATCAGATTCGAAGCGGTCGGCAACCAGAACATCAATGGCAAAAGATGCGTGTAGTATAATGCCTCCCACGGGTGTTTTCCGTACTTCGAATAAAGCGACTCTTGAAAGATTCCCATCCGAGCCGAGACGAATAAGGCGAAGGTCAGTATGGCAATACCCAAACACCACCACAGCCAGTCGATGAACTTCAGTTTCTCCTCTTCGGCAGCGTCCTCGTGGGTTTTGCGAGGCGCCTTCACGTCTCCGCTAGACTGAATGGTGCAAATGGCTATGCCGGCAGAAATCATAAACACGGCCAGGTATTTCAGCGGTGGGTACCGCTTCTTGAGGATCCAAACGCCCATGGCCATGTTGGCCATTAGAGAACCAGCTCGGAAGATCATGTGCAGCGGCATCGCGATGTTAAAGTCGAAGGCGTAGTTGTTGGCGACGCTGCTCGTCCAAAAGAACCCAACCAGGAGTAGATACTGCCTAAACGGTATATTTCGTTTGGCCATACCGAATTTGCCGACGGTACAGAACCCAATCGTAGCTATGAATACAAACTGCAGGAAGGTCGCTAGGTTACCGGCTCCGGGGTCCTCTTTGACGACAAACTCCAAAAAAACTACGTTGGAACAACATCCAACAAACACCATAGTAATGGCGAGCGCTGCCTTTAAATTCATTTTGGATCTGAAATAAAAATAAAAATTACAAAATGGTTTCCGANATTTGCCGACGGTACAGAACCCAATCGTAGCTATGAATACAAACTGCAGGAAGGTCGCTAGGTTACCGGCTCCGGGGTCCTCTTTGACGACAAACTCCAAAAAAACTACGTTGGAACAACATCCAACAAACACCATAGTAATGGCGAGCGCTGCCTTTAAATTCATTTTGGATCTGAAATAAAAATAAAAATTACAAAATGGTTTCCGATACCGGGAATCGAACCCGAGCCTCCTGGGTGAGAGCCAGGTATCCTAGCCACTAGACCATATCGGATGTTGAACAAGGATCTTAAATTCATCTTCTATTGTAGCAAAATTGTTCCATTTAATAATATTAAAAAAACAAAGTTGTTATATATTCCATAATTAAATACCATTAAATCATCCTTAACAACAGAATGACAATTGATACATGTTATTCAACACATGCGCAGTGAAGGTTATTCGTGATTCTCAGTCTATATGATAATTAAACTGTTACTAATTAAAGAACGAAATGAGATTACTTACATTTTATTCACTTCAATACTCAGGAAGTACGTAAACACAGAATAAAATATTTATTTTGTAAAACATCAGACACACGTTTACATTCCGAGCTCGCCGGAACACTAGTGTGTGTAATATTACGATTGTGTTTGTAATAATAGCCTCTAAATGACTTCGCACGCATGCGCGCAACTAGTGTCGTAGACAAAACAGCTCCCCTTGAGCTGTTTTAGCGCAAACAATAGATGGCGCTGAAATATTTTTTTCTTCGGTGTCTCATTTTTATCGTAATTTAATGATATTAGTTACTCACACATTGAGATAAGCTTAAATATCATTTAATTAGTTCGAAAGTAAAAGTCATTATGAGACGTCATTTTTACTAGACGATAGATAGAACGTGTAGTTGTGATTTATATGTCACATAATAACTTAAATCTATTTTTATTATATGATGTACATTTTTAGGTCCTTTTGCAACCTTAAAATGCAATCATGTCCGAGTGTGTTTATTGGTTTGTCCGTAGGCTTTTACTGTTATAATAGCTTCATGAGATTTTTGAAAGAAAACATAGGCTATGTTGTTGTTACTATAATAATCAGAGATGGCATTTCATCCTTACAGAAAGTTAAAGAAATCGTATAATCGTAGGCTGCTGTGTGCTTAGTGCGAGTTTTTTAACGTTCTCGATAGCGTAAAAGTTAACCCAATTTTGTATGCAGTTGGAACAGCGCCCCTAGCGGCAAACGTACGCAAACGATCCTATTCCATACAAATATGAGATAGCTTTTACGCTGTCGAGAACGTTAAAAAACTCGCACTAAGCACACTGAATTCCGAAAAACCAATATCTTAAGAGACCATTGTATTTACAATCATTCATTGCACAAACAGTGCGGGCTACCCACTTCGATAAAGCGGCACGACACGAGAACCCTCTCATCGTGGCCGCCGGTAACTACATTCCCGATCCTGCGGACAGAATGGAAAGCAGTCGACGTCGCCCAAAACACGTCATCTCGGATCCTCCCGATCCACTAACGGTGCTTTTAGGTACTTCAAGCACCGGTCACCGTCCTCGTCGAACCCGTCGCTTGCGACGAAGGGCTCGACGAGCAAATTAACTCTCAGACACAGCCCACTGAGTTTCTCGGCGGATCTTCTCAGTGGGTCGCGTTTCCGATCCGGTGGTAGATTCTGCGAAGCACGGCTCTTGCTAGGGTTCGTGTTAGCATCGTCGTCAGGTTTGAGCCCCGTGAGCTCACCTACAAACGTTAGGGTGAAGCTGAAATAGCCTCTCAAGGCTATCAGCATAGGTAGGAAAAAGAAAAAAGCGGGCTACTTAGCCTTTTTTTCTTTGTCGTATCACTCTTCTCAGAACGGTGGTGGCCGTCATTCAGTATCATTGCTGTGGGCAGATGCTATGCACCTCACGCGCAATCGCCATTTCTCCCGGTTTGTAGTAAGCCTGGTACACTCATTTAAACCACCAACTGCCGACTGACCTGGCGCCTTCTACTTTGCCCTGGACGACAAGGCACTCTATGGAGTCATTCCTCGCCAGGAGATATGTCCAAAAAACCATAGTATGCGTCCATGCACGAGCGCCAAAAGACGCTGCTTAAAGCCGAATTCTTGAAGAATAGCGATTAGAATTTTTTTCAAATATAGAGGGGGTGTAGTGTAAGAGAATAATACCCCGCCTCGCTTAGCTTACTATACATTTATAGTAATGAGCAGCATACGTTAGTCAGTCAGTGGTTAACGTGCCGCGATCCACCGCGGTCGCTGACGGGAATAAACATGTAATTATACGTAGTGTTATATTGGCCACTCAGATGAGGTTTATGGAGGACAACACGCAACAAACTACCAAAGCACACAGCGCCTCTTTTATATCCCTAAAAACCTCACAGTGCCAAGTCCGGGCCATGTAATACCGAGCATTCGTCTCCAGCACCAAATCTTCAGAGCATCGACCTTCTTTTTCTCGATCTGCCGCAAAGTCCACGTCTCCGCAGCAATAAAGAGAAAACAAGAGTTCGTAGGTACGAGCCGAATTTTTTTTTATTGCTTAAATGGGTGGACGAGCTCACAGCCCACCTGGTGCTAAATGGTTACTGCAGCCCATAGACATCTACAACGTAAATGCGCCACCCACCTTGAGATATAACTTCTAAGGTCTCAGTATAGTTACAACAGCTGCCCCAGCCGTCAAACCGAAACGCATTACTGCTTCACGGCAGAAATAGGCGGTTACCCGTGCGAACTCACAAGAGTGACAAGAGGTCCTACTAGCAGTTATTACGCGAATTATAATTTTTCGAGTTTGATTTTTATTATACGATGTTATTCCTTCACCGTGGAAGTCAATCGTGAACATTTGTTGAGTACGTTAAATATGTAATTAGAAAAATAGGTACTCGCCTGAGATTTGAACACCGGTGCATCGCTTAACACGAATGCACCGGACGTCTTATCCTTTAGGCCACGACGACCTCAAAACCTGTGGCTTTGGTTATGATTCTGTTCTTCCATATTTTCTTCAGCTTGTCCACTTCAGTTCTTGTGATCGCCATACGTCGCTTTTGTTCGATATCAAGGATCCAAGGCATATGTAGGATTGGACGTATTCGCAGTTCGCAATCTCCAGAATCCTGACCACGCAGGAGCCAGTCACCGTCGTCGCCCTAGACACGTCTTTACGGATCCATCAGATCCAATAACCCTTTCATTAGACGCCTTCAGCTCTAACATTGGGAGCAGGCTTAGGGACCCCGGTAACCGTACTCGTCGAACTCGGCAAAGCGTTTTCTCTCGAGAACTCTTTGCCAAGTTCAACGTGCAACCTAACCTACATCAGCCCGCTGAGTTTCTCGCCGGATCTTCTCAGCGGGTCGCGATTCCGATCCGGTAGTAGATTCATTCGCGAAGCAGCTACTCTTGAGTTGTTAGGTCTTCCTTGGAGGCGCTTGGGTAGCTTTTAACAAATCCCACCCCTCCCGGTGAACCTTTGCTCGCCCACCTGTCCTGGTAAAACTGGAAAGGCCTCCGGGCCACCAGTATTCCCTCAATCATAAAAAAAAAGTTCGTAATCTCAGTGATGTCTTGCAAATTGTTTTTGGCTCGGTCCACAATCATCAACTAATCTTCAAAACCCTGAACCATGAACGTAAACTGTCAATGAGCCACTGAGCATCAAGACTGCGGAGTTTAATTCGCAAAAATTTACCCTCTAAATTCCGAAAGAAAATTTTTGAATAAATAAAATCCACCGTTGCATAAGGAGGCGACAGTGTAACCGTGGTAATTCAATTATTCCGAATCGTCGCGCTCCACTAACGACCTTTCGGAAGTGAGAACGGCGGGACGCGACGAAAATTTAACGAGAACTGACGTTTTATTGGTGACCGTGCATTAAGAAATGTCTTAAGCGCCCAACTGGTATATATTTTGTTGCTTGCAAAATATTCTGAACTCATTCCGACCATGATGTCGAAATGTTTTTATAAATAATTTTACAAAAAAGATTCCTGCATATATTATTAGGACGTGCTTGCTTAAAAACTAAAAACTTACGATCCAAATTCAAGACTGTGAAATATCGTATAGGCCTTATTATTAACTTATTTGTTTATGGCAATTGGCTTCTTGGAATGCCTTTTTTGCCATCATCGAATTTATTCACTTTTCCATGCATTAAACAATATGTTATATGAAAAATAAAAAAAGAGCCAAATGAAATGAAATTTGTTTATCTATAAATAATAGTTAAAACAAAAACTAAAAAAACACGCTTTTACAGAAAATCCAACTAAAAAATAAAAATAAATTTATTGTGAAAAGGCTTGGGTGGAGTGCCACACGCTTTTTTTAACAATAAATTTATTTTCTATTAATTAGGTAGATTTTCCATAAAAGCGTGTTTTTTTTAGTATTTTTTTAAACTATTATATATTTTTCATTTTTTAGTTTATGTAGCATTATGTTATCATAAATTATTCATTACTGTACATACTTTCAGGCAAATACAACGGTTTCCAATTTGCTAAGTGAAAAAAAGAAGGCGCTCAAATGTATTTCTTGTTTTGAGTGTCGAAAGTAAGTAATGGGTCTAACTGTTTAAAATATTGAATTGTCATCGGTCCTTGATAAGTATGCCAAATTTCGATTTAACCCGACGTTTTGAAGGGGGTCAAAATTGTTAGTGGGTACATCCTTATTAAGAAGGGTGAGCTGTAGCACAACACTAGTATTTTTTTAATGACAGTGGATAGAAGAGTAGCATCATAACACTATGGTCTCAGAGAAAATGTATAACAATAAAAACAGTAATGTCTTAAATAAATAATATTAATAAAAGGTTCGTTTCTCTCATCTGAGCGCTTCTATACCCTTAAAAAATCACGGTCACTGATTCCAATACATACATAGTTAACATACATATGAAACTAATAAAAGCGTAT